AGATAGATAGATAGATAGATAGATAGATAGATAGATAGATAGATAGATAGATAGATAGATAGATACATTAGATATAAATATTAGATATATAGATACACAACCATAGTCAGTTGTATGGTTTTCTTATAAGAGGGCTCATGAAATATCCCCGCTGATCTCTAGCTGAGGCCAATGGGCGCCCCTGGGCGGGAAAGACACCCCCAGCCTGGCCTACCCAGCAGGGCTGTTGGGAAGCGGGGGTGTGTGTGTGTGTTTTTCCACGGGGGGGGGCTTCCACTCCGACCTCCCCCCCCCTTTTTTCCTCATGGACCGACCTCGCCGCCCTTCTTCTTCTCCTCTCTGCCCCCAAGTTCCCTCAGGGCGAAGGCCAGAGCGACACCTACTCGCGCACGCGCGCAGGAACGAAGCCCGGTTGGCGGGCGGGGGGGGGGGGGGGAGTTCCTTTCTCTCCCCCGCGTCTTGTTCCGGTCAAGGCCGCGGAAGTCGGCTGGCGGCGGCCGTTGCCGTGGAAACGCGGCGCTGTTTACCACCGAGAACGGGCCGCCTGCGCGCAGGCCGCTGGATGGAGTTGCGGCCAGGTGAGGCGGGAACCAGGCCTCCCCCGCGACTCGACCCCCTCCGTCCGCTGGACTACAATCCCCATCGTCCCCAACTACGGCCGAGAACCGCGGTAACCCGAGCTCGCTGACCACGGGCATCGAAAGTCCAGCACAGCCGGCGACGCCAGGCTGGGGATGATGGGGACGGTGGTTTCCCGGACCATAGGAAAGCTGCGGGCGATGGGTGAAATAGTCCGGGGGAAATAGTCCGGCGGGAGATGATGGGCGAGCCAGGCTGGGAACAATGGGGCCTGGAGTCACGGGACAGGCGTGGGGGGGGGGGGGGGGAAGAAGGGGAAACCGACCTTCTGGGTTGGCCTACCTGGCAGGGCTGTTGGGAGAGGAAAGGGGGGCGAGGAGTGGCCAGCTGACCCCCAGCCCGGGTCTCTTCCTCCTTTCCAGGCTGCAGGACCAGCGATTCCCCCCGAGACCCTCCTGGACTGACGGCCTTCCTGATGCCCGGAGCCGCCAGTCGCCCGGAGCCCATGGAGCATCCTCGGCAGGTGGGCTGCCCTCCACCCGCTTCCTCCCGCCCAGGAGGCCTGGCAAGGGGAGGCACAGCGGCCGACTGCAGGGCACTTTGTGCTTGGAGGCTAAAATTGGGGCAGGCACCAAGCCCCGGGAGGGGGGCACAGCTGCTGTGGGCTCCCAAGCAGAGCATGCCGGCCTCATGCATGATTTGGTAATCTGGCAAGGTGAGCTGCAAAATGCCATGCTGGATGGAGAGGCTGACCTGTCCGTGCCATTTCTCTCTCTCCTTCCTTCCCAGGCCTCCTGAAAAGCAATGGCCGCTGCCTCACCTCTGACCATCTCACCCTCTGAACGGAAGGTCCCCTTCGGCATCGCAAAGTCTCCCGGCTGGCCGCCACTCCCCAGCGTCGCCATGCATGTCACCCGGCCAAAATCCGCCAAGGGGCGCACCCGGTCCAGCCTGAGCTATTCCCAGAGCCTGGGGGCCTACTCCTACCAAGTGCCATCGTCCCCCCAGCCAGTCGCCCCCCCCGGGGAGGAAGCAGTCAGTGGCCGGAGGGCAGCCTCCACCCAGCCCATCCAGGCGTTTCCAGCCGAAGTACCGGACCTCCTCCAGCAAGTGCCCACCAGGGCCTCGTCTTCCCTCAACAAGTACCGGGTGCTGCCATCCATCAGCAGGAAGGAACAGAGGACAGGTGCTGCCGAAGTGATGTTTGAGCAGGTGGGTCAGCTCCCAGCCGGTGCCCAGGTGACGGCAGCAGCCGAGGAAGAGCAGGAGCCCCAGGATCCTTCTCTGCCGAAGGGGCCCACCTCTTTCCTGCTGGAGCACGAGGGGGGAGGTGGAGAGTACCCCCAGGCCCCCTTTGCTCCCTTGGAGAGGCCTCAGATGAATAAAAAGAGGGAAGGAGGCTCTCCCACCACCACGCTGACCCTCAACCTGGAGGAGCCCTGCGAGGAGCCCCGGCTGCTGCTGGCCATCCGCTCGCCTTCGGGGGAAAGGTTCGAACGCTACTTCCGGCCCACGGACAACCTGGAGATGGTGGTGGCCGTGGCCGAGCAGAAGAATGCCGCCACCTACCAGCACTGCAGAATTGGGACGGTGGAAGTGCCCCGCAGGACCTTCTCGGACCTCAGCCGCTCTTTGCAGGACTGCGCCATCCACCACAAGTCGGTGCTGCGCATCCTGCTGGACAAGCAGCAGGGGGAGCTCTGAGCAGGAGCGCGGGTGCCTCGCATTAAACGCCCCTGGAAGGAAACCCAGCCCCCTCCCACTCCTGTAGACCCAGCCGGGACCCCTCCCGGGACCCTCACTCACCCAGGTCTCCCTGCTCAGCCCAAAGGGGCCTTTGCTTTCAGGTGCCCTTGGTCGTCCCCCGTCCCCCCATTCCACCTGGTGGGCAGGGGTTTTATGCTGGGGGGAGTTTCTTCCCATCCCTCAATCTTTCCTTCCTTCTCCCTTTTCTGATCCTTCCGTCCCTCCCTGATTCAATTTGATGTGGATCTAGAAGAGGGGTAAGGAAACTGCTGGCAATCAGCGTGCCTTTTGCTCCAGATTCTCTCTTAAGCAGCTTTTGGTTGAAGGGAGGTGGTGCAGGTGATCCTTTTTGGGGGTGCAGGGAGAGAGGGGAGTGGCAAGATACAAAGACTGGCCTTGTCTGAGGGAAGGCCAGGACCCTGAGGCTCTTTCAAGGCTTCTGCTCGATTCTGGGGAGGGGAGGCAGTAGATAAAAACTCTTGAACTTGCTCAGCCTTCTCAAGGTCGGTTACTGCATTTTTAATCAAATTTCTTTTACAAGATTATGGCACAAATGAAGTCTGGAAGGATCCTCTGAGGGCAGGCTTTCTCTCCACTGTAAATTTGAAATTCAGTGTTGTTTCTGGCGGTAAGTTCAGAGCTCTTCGCCGAAACAGCGAAACGCAGTCATGGAAGTGTGTTTGTGTTTCGCATTGCGGCCTTGAATTCTGCCGGGGGTGGGTGGGTGGGGCTTTACCTGAAGGGCTGCTGCTGCGTTTTGAACAAATCAACCTGCTTTGATTAAGAGTGGCCTGTTGGTGTTATCAAAATGCCTCCCCCCCCCTTAAAACTGTATTTGAATGTTTTAAAGAAAAATGTTTCTCTGTCCACAGGCAGAGTTTGAACTCTCGGTATTCTGCACAATGAGACATGCTAACAGAGTGGACAGCTTGCCAAAGAGAGTCCGTCTTCCGAGTGTTGATTTCTTAGCCCAGACAGGCCAAAGGACGCTGGGAGGCAGGAAGGGACTTTCCTAGGGTGTGGAAGCCTTGAGCAGTGGGAATGTCTGGCCACCATCCAGCTGTGGCCAGGGGCTGCTTTCTTCCCCTAGGGTCCCCGGAGAGGGTGGGACACCCAACATGGAAGGTCAGTGCTGGGAAGTGGGCAGCTTGTCTTGGCCTGGTCTTCTTTGAGCTGTTGGGGGAAAAGAGACTGGGTGAGGCTACTTGGCCTCAGTCAAAGTGGGCAGCTGGGAACTGTAGTCTACCTCCTGGTTGGGGGGAGGCAATAGAAACAGCCTCATGCATTTATTTGATTGGGGGGGGGGAGGGAGAAGAGAACATTCCCACATGATCAGGTGCTGGTTTTTATACCTTCCACACAGACAGGGTGGAGGTATTCGAAAACTGCCTGGGTGAACTCTTGTGGATTTCCTAGGGAAGAGGGCTGGGGGTGGACCGATTACTGTATGGAAGGGGGAATAATGAATTTTGTGCACTCAGTTGGGGAACTTGGTCACTGTAAACCCACGCAAGGTATTCTACACTCTAAAAACACCAGCACGTGGATTTAACCCTAAATATTTGGGCTTCAGCATTGATGCTTGGTTTCGGTCACCCTTCCAGTTGATGAGAGTGAGCACGGGAAGATGGAGGGCACCAAAAATTAGAAGACTGCATGAAGTCTGTCTCTCTCTCGGCACTCCCAGGTGGAACCCCAATGTGCAACCTGCACCCCTCAGCTCAACCAGGGACCCCCAAGATTCATCCCCAAGCTGGCAGAAGGAACACCTAGCAGGCACCAGCTGTGATCATTTTATTTCAATTAAAATGTCATGGCAACAAACTTAGTTTTAGTCTTTAAGGAGGGCTGGGCTCTCGCCTGAAAATGCCAGGTGAGACCCTCCTCGATTTAAAAATCCCCTCTGGCTTGTCAGGAGTTGGGGAAAGGGCACCTTCAGCCCGCAGAAGACCCACTGCCACAAATTGCACGGAAGGCAGCCGAGGCCAGGGGTCAAATCTCGTGCGGTCTTTATTCTAGCTGAGAGGTTACATCGGAATGCAGCCCTGGCTGCCTGTCACTTGGTGTGGCCAGAGCGGATTCAAGGCTCCCTGCCACACACAGCCCATGTCTGCCTGTTATCTCCTGTGGGACAAAAATAAGTATGCCCTAGCATACAAAATCTGTGGACACCTGTGTTTTTTTTCAACATTCCCCCCACACACACAACCCTCCCCCCCAAAGCTGTCGACAGAAACCGAAGAGGCTGAGCACAAACAAACACCCTGAAAATTTAGGTACATTTCTAAAGTGAGCAGGGCGCGTATATGTTGCATGAAAAGAATCTCCATCTCAGCCCCAGCCCAGGAAAAACGCAGGGATAAAAACTCAGAATCCACAATTAATCGATTTAGAAAAGGGTCCCGTATCAAGCAGGAAGCCCTCTGCCCCCGCCCCCAAGCATGAATAAAAATACTTTTAATTCTACTGTGCCAGAGAGAGAGAAAGCAACTGGATCCAACCCTCGTGCGCCTGCCACGGCGGAATCAGAGAATCCAAACTGAACTCAGAGGAAAAAGGCCTCATTGGCTGAGCCTCCTTGGCCAGTGAAGCCCCTTCCTGCCTCCCCTGAACCAAACATCATTTGGGCTCACTGCAATTTTAAGCATGATCTCTCCCCACCCCTACCCGGCTCAAGAAGCCAAATCAGGGCCAAATCAATTTGGTTGCAACCAACAAAGCACCCCCCCCCCCCAAAATGCAAACCACTGGTCTAATGCCCCATTCATGGTGGATGGGGAGGACCTGCTGGGACTTGGGGAAGAAATATGCAATTCTTAGCATGGCTCTGTTAAGGGGGGGGGGGGGGGTTTGAGGTGCACCTGCCCAGAGGTGAGGCTGAAAACCCACCTCCCTGCCTGCGCGCCCATCCTTCCTCTGGAGGCCCCAAAACAGAGGTTTAGCTCAGCATTAACATTCTCACAAATACTTCCCCTATTGAGCTCTTTATTTCTGCTCAACTGTCTTTTTCTGCCTCCCTATCTCCATTCTGGGCTGACGGGCAGGTGAGGTCCTGTGAACCTGCCAAGGTTTTGGCTTCTCTTCCCCACCACCCCTGAAAAGCCAGCCAATGTCTCGAGACCCCCACCTGGGATTGCAGCTCCCCGGCGTTTATTGGGCAGGAGAAAAAGGATAAGAATGAAAAGGCAGACTATCATGCCATCACCTGGGGGGAAAAAACCAGAGAAGCAGGACGATTTTCCTCAAGTAAAAATGGCAATCTCTGCCCACTTCACACATACCCAGCATGAAACCTGCCTGGGACGTTTAATCTGTTCTGAAGTGTAAAAAAAAAAAAAAATCACAAGCGATATTTGTCTGTTCAATCTTAGTGCTGTCTCTCTCCACAAAACAGGTATTAAAATACCTTCTAATTATTGGCTATGTGTTTTGGCATCATTTTCATAATTGAAGAGGTCCCCCCACTCTTAAGGCTAAACTAAAAGAAAAAAAAAGAAAAAAGTTACTGTAAACATTTCTTCGCGAAACGTGTCTTCCGTGTTCTCCAGTTTGCGCTAATTTGGAAATGAAAGTCCAGCCGCATCGTTGTTGGTTTAAGAGGGTGAAGTAACTCCTGCAGCGCTCGTGGTCTTGGGGGAGGGCACCCCGCTCCACACGTGGCTGGTGAGATGTGCCAGTCAGGATGGCGTCTCCATTCAGGGTGGGGGAGCCACGGGGAGGAAGCCGGGCACCCACAATCCCCTCGGCTGCCCCCTCAGTTAGCAATTTTCTCAATCTCATCCAAATCATCTGTATCCAATTTATGGATCTTCTTTTCTGCACAGAAGGAAGCAAAAAAAGTGTTGTCCGAAAAGATTCAGCTGGGAGCCAGTTCGGTTCCCCAGTGGTGTCTGGCCCCCAAAAAGACATTTTAAGTTTCTGAAAACTCACAAAGCCCAGCCGGAGAGCCCTGAGTTGCTGATGATCCTTAAAAAGCCCACAAAACCAAATATGTAATATGATTATAAGATGGATGGATGGATTTAAGACCTATGGACTATGGAGCTGAAGTGGGGCGGGGAGGGGGTTGTTTTTGGAGGGGTTGCCTTTGAACTAACCCCAATTCCTGGCCACCGCCTGGAGAAACCCCGGCCCCCTCCTCAGCTGGAGTGGAGAGAGAGGGGCCGGCCCCCACGTCCTCCGGCTGGGCTTAGGGGAGGGGGGTGTCTAAGGCAGGATTGCATTTCCTTGGCCTGGCCACAGAGCTGCCCCCCTACCCCCCCCAGGCGCTTGTGGGGAGGGACTCACTGAAGTGTTCCTGGATGCGGCTGAGGATGTTCATGCTGTGCTTGCTGTCTACCATGTTGACGGCCAGACCTCGCTTGCCGAAGCGCCCCGTGCGGCCGATGCGGTGCAGGTAGGTCTCGTTGTCCGGGTTGCCGTCTTTGTCTACCGGGAGGTCGAAGTTGATGACCACGGAGACTTGCTCCACATCTATGCCTAGAGAGGAAATTTATCATCGAACAGCTGATTGAAAGCCTCTTTGCCAGTTTAACAGAGACGACCCGATGCTCAACACTGCGGTAACCGCAACCCTGCTGACTTTTGGAAGTCAATGTCGGCGTGTTCCAACATGGGAGACTGGAGCGCTATTTGCTTGAGAGCAGGGGGCTGGACTAGAAGACCTCCTGGGATCCTTCCGGCCCTGTGATTCTGGACTCACCTCGGGCACAGACGTTGGTGGTGACCAGGACCTTCTCCTTGCCCTCCCTGAAGCGCTCGATCACGGCCGCCCGCTGCTCCACCATCATCTCCCCACTCAGGAGGGCGACCTGGTGGCCTTCTCTGGACAGCTCCCCTGCCAGCCAGCCGGCCGTCTTGCGGGTCTGCAGGAGGGAGGGGTCAGCGAGGGAGGGAGGGAAGGGGCTGGGGCTGGGCTGGGTAGGTCGCCCGGCCCGGCACTCACGTGGCAGAAGATCATGGCCTGGGCAATGGTGATGGCCCCGTAGATGTTGCAGAGGGCTTGGAACTTCTCCTCCCGGCTGTTGCAGAGGACGTAATACTGCTTGATGGTGTCCAGCGTCTCCTCCTCCCTCTTCAGCTTGATGATGTTGGGGTCGGGAACCACCTTCTGGGCAAACTTCCACACCGAGTCCTCGAAGGTGGCCGAGAAGAGCAGCATCTGGCAATCCCGGGGAAGCATCCTGAACGCGGTGGCAAAAAAAATTCATGCATGCATCCACAAATAAAGAAATGAGGTTAAAGGAAGCGGGTGAAGGGATTGGACAATCTGGGGACATTTATCTGCCCTCCTGCTGGCTTCCTGGCCAAGTCAGGAAACGTTTTCCTTCGCATAGAAATTGTGGCCGCATAACGGGCAGCCCCTCCTGCCCTCACCTCTGGATGCGGATGCTCTGGTCCTGGTGCCCCTGGGTGGCAATCATGACGTCGGCCTCGTCCAGAACAAACACCCGGATCTTTTTGGGGTCAATGAACTTGAGCTTCGAACACCAATCCAGGACGGTGCCCGGCGTGCCAATGACGATCTGTTCGGCAATCTTCTGGCCACGCTCCACTGCAGGGGGGAGGAGGAGGAGGGGGAGGAATGACCCCTGGGAAGACTGTCCCTGGGAAAGCCGTCCCAACTCTCGCACCGCAGGGACCCCACGGGTGGCAGAAACCGGAAAGGTCGCCCAGCCGGGCTCTGCCCTTGCCAGGTGCCAAGAAAAGGAGGGAACCAAGCTGGGCACTCACACTTGTTGCCCCGGACGGCATAGGCCAGCTTCAGCGCAGGGTAGAACCGGCCCATCTGTTCGATGACCTTCCCCGTCTGGAGGGCCAACTCGTACGTGGGGGAAAGGCAGAGGCACTGGAGGGCAGGAGGAGGAAACAACTCAGAAGAGGAACGAAAGAAGCCCCCCCTGCCCAGGGTTTCACCCTCCCCAACAGGTCAGGTCCAGCTCCCCAGCCTTAGAGGACCCTGCCTCGACCCCGGCCAGGACCAAATCGCCCTCAGCAAGCCTGGGCCCCTCCAGCCCCTGTCCCAGCCAGGGCTGGTCACGGTGGCTACCTGGGGATGCCTGTGATCCGGCTCCACCCGGCTGAGCATGGCCAGGACGAAGGCTGCCGTCTTCCCGGTGCCGGACTGGGACTGGGCAATCAGGTTCTGTGGGCTGCAGACAGGTGGAGAGGGAATAAGTGGCTCAGAGGGAATGGACGCCCCCCCCCCCCTCCCCGAGTCTCGTGCCAGCAGGCAATCCGAGAGGGTAGCATCACAGGGAGAACTCTCTGTGGGTTGTTAGGGGACCCCCTGCCCCCACCCCGTCCCACCTTCCGCCCTCCGTCCGCCCAGGGCCAAGACTTACGGCTCCGCGAGCATCATGGGCAGGGCGTTCTCCTGGATCTTGGAGGGCCTGTTGAACCCCATGGCGTACACCCCCTGGAGCAGCTGGGGCTTCCTGGGCAGGGGGAGCAAAGCGCAGCAGCGTTACTGGAGGAGGCCAGGGCCTCCAAGTGACTTTGAAGACCAGGAGGGAGTCTACAATATGGGCCGCTTCTTCCCACTTGTTACTGGGAATCTATGTTGCATTGACCGGTTCACATCCTTGATTTTCAACCTTCTTGACGTATTTCCTACACAACAGTTCACTTAGTGACTATTTGAAGTTACAACGGCACTGACAACGGGTTGAGGCTGTGCTGCAGTTGCTGGGTTTCCAGTTGACCAAGAGCTACTCTGAGCCCAGGCAGCAGGGCAGAGGGCATTGTGCTGGCAGCCGGGAGCCCCCAAGAGGCCCCCACAGCACTAAGGCGGCTTCAGAGCGGCCCCCCTCCCCCAGCAAAGCCCCCCTGCTCAGAGCAACGCCTCCCTCTCCCCCTCGAGGGCCCACGGGCTCCCAAAGAGCCAAGCGGCACGTACAGGCGCAGTTCTTCGAAGGACCTGACCGAGTAGAGTGGGGAGGTGGGGTCCCTCTGCAGCACCTCCACCTGGTTCGTGTTGTCCACCAAATTGCTCCGGATCAGCTTGTTCAGCAGCGACTGGGCGGCCCGATCCTCTGTGGCCAAACGGGAAAGAGAAGCATGAACTAGAGACCTACACACCACTTCACAGGGCTTTGCGGGTCACAAATGTCAGCCTCTTGCCCGCAGCCATCCAGGTCCCCGTTTTACCGACCTCGGAAGGCTGAGTCAACCTTCAGCCAGGATCGAACTGCGGGCAGTGGGCAGAGTCTGCCTGCCATCCTGCTGTCACTATATTGGTTGTATTACTTGGAACCAGACACCTGCATTCTAACCGCTGCACCCCCAGGGCTCTTGGAGAGACCTCAGCCAATCATGGTGGCTTCTGCCAAGGTGCCCTCTTAGCATGGAAAGCAGGTCACTATGATGCCGAGGAGGAGGGCAACTGCTCTCTGCTTCTGGCGCTTCCCGTCCAAAACTAGTGCTTCTTCGCTGTCCCTGTCCCACATACCAAACCCACCACCCCTAGAGGGTCTCTGGTTGGAGACCGGGTGTCCCAGCGCTTGAGGATAGAACCAGCAGATGGCAAGCAGCTGGCACCGAAGACAGAATGCTGAGTGGGCTTGGCTTTACCTCCGGACATTACAGAGCGGGGCGCTCATCTGCCCAGCCCTGCCAAGAAAAGGAGGGTCTTAACGGCCCCCACCGCACCCCAAAGAGCCCTTCTTGGAAGGGGAGATGAGGCTTTCCCCCACACAAGGCCAGGTTTCCACGTCCCGAGCCAGTTAAACTTACCCTTTTCCTCCTCTTCTGTCTTCTCTGCATTGTCGCTTGTCTTGACAACGGCACCTGTCGGGACAAATCATCCTTTGTAGCACCGTCAAGATGGGTTGGCCTAGAAAGTTGTTCTGTTCCGTTACTCCAGAACAAGCGCCTCTCGTGGACGGCTTTATAGGTTCTCCTGCACAATGTGGAAGGTGGGTGTTTCTCAACCGTGGCAATTTTAAGATGTGTGGACGTCAATTCCCAGGATTCCCCAGCCAGCAGAGCTGGGAGCCGAAGTCCATACTTCCTGCCCTAGGTGATGGGGGCACCTCCTAACTCCACAGTCCTATGATAACCCTTCATGCCCCATAAACCACCAGCAGCTGAATTATCCAGTTACAATTCGCCGCTGTTGATGGAGCCACAATTCTCAATACAGGTAGTCCTTGACGTATGACTACAATTGAGCCCAAAATTTAAGAGAGACAGTTGTTAGTGGAATTCTGCCCTGTTTTAGGACCCTTCTTGCCAACATGAAGTGAATCGCTGCAGTTATTAAGCCGGTAACACAATTGTGAAGTGAATCTGGCTTCGCCACCGGTTTTGCTTGTCGGAAGGTCACAAAAGAGGGATCACATGACCCTGGGACTGTCATAAATAGGAGCCAGTTGTCAAGTGCCCAAATTTTGATCATGTGACCTCCAGAATGCTATAATGTTTGCAAGTGTGTCCTAAGTCACTTTTTTCAGTGCCATTGTAACTTTGAATGGTCACTAAATGAACTGTTGTAAGTCAAGGACCACCTGTATATGTTTGCCAGTGAAGCTTGCAGATTTATTGCCCCCGAGCAAAGCTCTGATTGACTCAACCATATGCCTAAAATATATTCCTTGGTGCTTAGAAGAGCCTTAGGCTCCGTTCCAACAGGTTGGCCTCCTAGGAATGAGGATGTAATTGTACTGGTAAAAGCAGGAGGAAAATTGTCTCTGCGTGTGGGCGTAACTGGCAAGAACAAAGAGCAGGAAAAAGACTCAGAGGTGTGTGTGACCGTTACGGGAAACGGATCAGCCTCGGGCACCAGGGCTACACCCACCGTTGGCGTCTGGCTTGAGGTTCTCCTCCTTCAGGTGCAAGTTGCTCAGCTGCAAGGAAGAAAAGAAGACACCGCTGATAAGAACTACCGCTTCCTTCCCGCATCGATTCTCCTGAAAGGGAAGGGTGAGCTATCACTCGTTTCCCACATTGCCAGGCTGGCTAGGGGATTCTGGGAGTTGAAGTTGCCATGTTTGAGAAGCCCAGCAATGAGCTTCCCTTTCTCTAAAGGAGAAAGTGACATGGTGGGTCTGCTGGTCATGGCAGCCACTGGGGATTCCGCCTGACCCGAGGCACAAAAGGCACCCCAGTTGAGGCTGCTGGGGAAGAAGCCACTTGATGGCCTGCGGAGTTCTCTGATCTCCTTCCAAAGTCCCTTAAGTGGTGACACCAATGGCAGAGAGGAGGAGATGGAGACCTTCATGGACAGCCCTTATCACCAAGAGGAGAAAAAGAGCTGAAGTCCAACTGACAGAACACTCCTCAACTGTTTACATTGCACATATCAATCATTCTGTTGTTTGGGCGTGTGTGTGTGTGTGTGTGTGTGTGTGTGTACATGTATGGATACACACGCTTTATATACACCCTTCAAAATCACATCACTAAAAACACTTAGTACAAAATTCTCCTCCCCCACTCAGGGCTACAACCACAACTTCACACAGCCGCCCAGGTGTGTTTGTGGGTTTTCTTCTGCGATGGGGGGGGGGGTGTTCCTGGTTCGTGAGCCCCCCCCACCCCCACAGCGGGAAACTGTCTGAGCGGCCAACCACCCGCACGGAGACCCGTTCCCACGTGCACACGCGTGTCTCGGCCCACCCGGTCCCTCCGCTGAGCCTTCCTCACCGAGGCCGCGGCGGCCGCCTCCTGCTCGTCCACCGCCAGCGCCCACGAGTCAGTCGCCATCCTCTCCCCGGAGACGGACGGCCCGCTCGGTCTCAAGCTCCAGCCCCAGGGAGGCCGCAGGCTCTGCGCAGGCGCCGAAGGAAATGGGGAAGGCGCTCCGCGTGCACCGCAGAAATGATTCCGGGAGGGACGCGGTGGCAGCACGGCGGACGTTCCGGAAACGGCTAGATCCGCCCCGCCCCCTTTCCCTTTTTTCTTCTTCTCTTCCTTGTTTCGAACGTTCCGTTGGCGGGGCGTGCGCGCATGCGCGATTCCCGCAAAATTCAATGCCTTGTGAAATGTAAACCTATCAAGGTTTGGTCGTTTTTTGCCTTTTTCTCTATGCGCTGCCCGCCGTTGCAATGCCCCGTCCGCCTGCAAGGCTCCTTTGCAAGGGAGACCCGGAGCCCCTGCTGGCTGCAGCTGACCCCGAGACGCCCCCCCCCCACCCGCGGGTCTATGTTGGCTATGGGGGCGCATAGAGACCAGGGCTGCCCCTTGCAAGCCACCAGATGGGCAGACTTGAACTCAGAACACCCGAGGGGTGGGCAGGCTGGAATTCACCTGTGTGGGCAACTATTGGCAGTTCAGGTAGTCCTTGACTTACAACCACAACTGAGCCCAACATTTCTGTTACTAAGTGAGGCATCTGTTAAGTGAGTTTTGCCCCATTTTACACGCTTTCTTGCCAGGTTAAATGAATCCCTGATCGGTTAGTAACAAGGTGGTTAAGTGAATCATGCTTCCTCATTGACTTTGCTTGTCAGAAGGTCACAGAAAGGGGATCCCGTGACCACAGGGATGCTGCAACGGTCGTAAGTATGAAAAGCGGCCATAAGTCACTTTTGTCAGTGCTGTTGTAACTTTGAAGGGTCCCTCAATGGTTTTGAGTCAAGGGCCACCAGTACAGTCACTCAGCAGAGCAGACACAGGATGGGCAGCATATCAATGTAATACATAAACAAACCCACATGTGCAACACAACGTATGAACCGTGAACAAGAAAATCTCTAAAGGTTTTTTCTTCAAAGAACATTTTGCACAGATGACGGCTCGATCTCGGCTCCACTGCCTTCTCTGCAAAACCAGGTATGGGCTCGTGAGTCGTTCCTCAAGGACGCGTTGGTGGTGGTCTGCCCAGGCCTGAGAAGCACCGTCCCAAGCCAGTGCTTGCTTGGTGAGGGGCTGCTGGGTGAACGTCGGCTGGGTGGGGGTACTCAGCAAATCCTCTGGGTTTCCTCCCTTCTGTGGCTGAGCCAAAGGCATTTTCCTCCTGGCCATAACCCCTCTGCCCCTCCTGCCAGCCTGGATGATGCTGTTGGCATCTCTAACTACGGGAAGGGTGGCATGGCAGGGCCGCTGTGCATCGCCACACTGCCCCTTCCCCTGGGGCTCAGCCACCGTCCTCCCCCTTCCCGCTCTTCTCCCATGCTGACCACTTTGTGCCGGGGTCAACCTTGGGGTCCCGCTGTCTCATCATTGTCTCAATTTCCAGGGTGACATCATGGCTTTTGCCATGGCAACGGGCAGCCAGTACTGAGCCACACACAGGCGCCGGGGAAGCAGCTGCGGCAAGCCGAATCAGGGCTGGCCAAGGGAAAATGGGATACCTGCCGATATGCCCCTGGAACGGGGTGAAATGCTTGCTCAATTGCCAGGAAAACTGCTTGCTTCTTTTCTCACAACCACCTGGACCCCACTTTGTTCACACGGTTTCCTGCGTTGGCTCAATTATTATGGCCAAAAGTTAAAACCGCCTGAATTGCGTTCACAAAGCGCCCTAGACAGCTCAAATGGTTTGAGGGACTTATGGGTCCGTATCTTGCTAAACCCCAGCCGGGATCTTGGCACGTGGTGTGAAGCAGGCACAAAGGGGAATATTTGTAGCTCAGGGTTGACATGAAGGTCCCGGGTGCTCTCTGATCTGGGCGGTTCCCTTGCAGACGTTTCGTTACCCAAACCAGGTAACATTATCACTAGCCCTGATGATGTCATTGGCTTTGGGTCATGAACCGTCTAAAAGGAAACCGCCAAGCTCAGAGAGCACCTGGGACCCCCAAGGGTTTTTAATCTGGACATTGCTCAGCATTCTGGGACTTGAGATCCACCCATCTTAAAAGTTGCCAAGGCTGAAAAATACTGTTTTTTCTCCTTTTGGGCTGTGGTTATTCTTCAAATAACCTTCTTTTCTGGCATTTAAATCTCAGCGGTGTCTTCCTTCTCTGGCATTCGCTCTGGAGGAGGGCAGCCAGATGGCTGGAGAAATAGATCAGGGTAATAATGAGAACCTCATTATGTTCCACTTAAAGAATGAACAGGGTGACCCTCTTCCAGACACCCTTCGCCTGATTTATGAGGTTGTTTATGCTTTGGTCTTAATGCAGAGAGCAGGCTCTCCTGTCAAAATCCACAAAGCCACCATTATCTGCAAACTGCAATTAAGCCAACAATGGGCCGGGGGGGGGGGGGCAGCCGATGGCTAGTTTAAGCAGCTTTTGCTAAGCTGGGTTATGTATGTACTTCACACCACCAAAACGGCAGGTTTTTAATTATGTTCTGTCATTGATGAGCTAAGCTCTGCATTCCTCTATTAGCTGAAGAATTACTGAAGTTAGAATTACCTTTTGGACCTCCAAACACTGAGCTGAGAAACTAGAGAGGCCTCAAATGGGTCTCTTCTAGCCAACGGCTGGCTGGGGAATTCTGCAAGTTAGAAGTCCACCCATCTTAAAATGCTCCAGGTTGAGAAACAGTGCCCTACCGAAGAAGAATAAGAAACTAAACTGTGATTTACAGAGTTCAAACTTTTGTCGTAAAACCCGTCATTTCTAGACTGCCGGAAGAACTAAATGAAGTTTATCTTCTGTTCAATGAATGTTCATTTGATGATAGAATCCAGCAGGGCCAACGCATTGTTCACCCCCCTGAGAAAGGAGAGACTACTCCAGGTTCCATCCTCTCCTGCCACTAATTGTCAGCAGGGCTGGGGATCATGGGAACAGGAATCCAGCCTTGAAGGCGACGGGAAGGAGCTGTTCCTTTTCCTTTCCCTCAGAGGTGTCACCTACAAGCGTGATCCCACTGAATGAGCAGGCTCGGCTGAGTGCCAGGGACCTTGTCCACCCAACGTCTCCGTCCTTTGTCGCCCTTCCTGTCTCAGGAGACCTTCCCGCCAACGGGAACCCAACCTGGAGAGGCCTTGGGTGGGGGCCTTGGTTCCCCTCCAATGCCAAGGCTGATGGACAGCCACTTCCCCGGGAGGCTGTTAAAGGCTATCAAAAATAACCCAGAAAGACGGGGTGCCCCCACATCCACCTGGGGCGCATCCAGAAAGGATTTCACCGTCCATTAAGAATCCTCCTGTGGATTCCTGCCCAGGCCTTCTTCGCTGGGGCCCCCCTTGGACCTGGACTGGGGCTCTTGAGGAGGGGGACAATCCAGCTGCCCCTCACCAGAAGGAGCCCCGGGAACAGAAGGCAGCATTGCAGGCAAACTCTGCCCACAGCCAGGAGTTCCAGGTTGACTCAGCCTGCCATTCTCCAGAGATCCCTCAAAGGGGGCCCAGGCCAACTCCAAAGGCCCCGGGGAAGCCGGATCTGCGCCGAAGTGCGGGTGCTGTTCCAGGAAGGGGGACCCTCCCGCCTGTTGGCCCCCAAAGGGAGGAGAGGGGCGGGCAGGTCCCCTCCTGGCTGGTGCTGGAGGGCTGCGGAGAGGCCGGGCGGGGGCGTCGTCTTCGCGCGGCTGAGACCCGCTTTGCGCCCGCCGCCTGCGTGTCAGGGAGTGCGGGCGCGCGCGCGCGGGTCCTTCCCGACGGCCACACGAGCCCCGCTCGCTCGCTCGCTCGCCCAAGTGGAAGAGGAGCCGCAGGCAGGTGGAGACGTGGCCGCCGGGTCGCCAGCGGAGCCCCTCGGCCAGCCCCCCGCCAGATCCGGCCGGCCCACCTGTTGCCTCCGCAGCTCTCGCCCCGCCAGCTGCTTTCAGGAGAACCGTCGGGGACGGCCGTGCTCCCGGCGGGCAGCCGTCCCGGGACCCCCGACCGGCCCCTCCGGCCAGGTAAGAGCAGCCTCCCCCCACCCCCAAAAAAAGCCGCCGCGACTTTCGCCCCGGGTTTGTTTTTCCGTCCTGTCTGCCGACCCCCACCACCACCCCGCGCCTCGGCGGGGACTTTCTCTGCTCCCCAAAAGTCTCCGATGTTTTTTCCTGACGCCTCGCGCCGAGTCTGGGACAAGGCGGGGGGGGGGGGGGAAATCCCCGCAAGCCTGGGCCCCCCCCCCCCCCCCCCCCCTTTTTTAAAGGAAAGAGCGAAAAAGGGGGGGAAAGGGGGGGGGGGAGAGCCACCTTCGCACCCCCCGACCTCCCGTTTAGCCCCAGGTCTCCTGCTCCTTTCAGACACAACATTCCCCCCCCCCACCACACACACACACACCGCAGCTAAAAGGTGTTTGCAAACAACAGCTGCAGCCTCCCAGCAAAGAGACCAAATCCAGCTTCCTTTGGACGGCTGTCCAGTGGGGGGGGGGGGGGGGCAGGGGGGCGCCCGGGGGGGTTTGCGGGGCCCGGGGAACCCCCCCCCCCCCCCCCCCGGGGGAAGGGGGGGGGGGGGGCTTGACCCAGCCATGTCCCCCTCTTCCCCCATGGACCCATCTTTGAGTGGTGGTGGGGGCAGGTGGGTGTCTCCTCTCGCCAAGGGCAACCCCCCCCCCCCCCTTTTGCATCTGGGCCCCGTTTTCACCCGAAGCTCCCCCCCCTCTCGTGTGTCCTGCCTTCACACGTTTCCACCGGCATCTTATAACCTGTTGCCTGCCCTGATCCGTTCAAGATCCCTCTTGATCCATCCCCCACCTGGGATATCTCCAAGACCGATTCTCAAAACTATTGAAGAAAATGTGCAAACTGCAGAGAGGATACCGGGAGGGGGGAGAGGGGGCTGGACAGCTGCTTCCGTCTGGGAATCACCCAAAGGTCAGCCTCTGATTTTCCACCCCCCCAGACCTTTTCTATGTCCACCAACCGGCCCTGCGGTGGCCTGGCGGACGGACGCTTGTGTCCATCTTCAGCGCTGATGCCATATTTCTTTTCCAGAGGAGAGAGACGGAGTCCTGGGTCTTTTTCTGCCCTGATCCTAAAGCAGCCCTCAGGATGCCCGGCTTGATCAACTGGACAACCAGCACCCTCCTCCCTCTGGCCGCCTCGGAGGTCACCTCGTGCGTCAGTGGCTATGCCTTTGGGATGACCGCCTGCCTGTCCTACCGCAACTCGGAGAACCATCCTTTTGAAGGTCGGTAGGGTTGCCTCTCCCTCTTGAGTTTCACTCTTCTATTTTTTGCCTGAGTTAAGAGGGGTTGAGAACTGTCCCAGGTCCTGAAGAGTTACAGGAAGTTCTCGACTTGTGGCCGTTTGACCTTCAAAAAGTGACTTCTCACCACGGCAGCATCCTTGCAATCATCCGATCAGATTTCAGGCGCTTGGCAACTGGCACGTATTTACGATGGTTGCAGCATCCTGGGATCACAGGATCCCCCCTTCGCGACCTCCCCAGCCAGCTTCCAACAAGCAAAGTCATTGGGGGAAGCAGGATTTGCTTAATGACGGCCTGATTCACTTTTTAAAAAAACCCCACTCCCTTTTTTACAACCCTGTAATCCCTTAATTCGGGGTAGAGTCAGAGCGACTGGATGGAGCTGAGCGTTTATTGGCTGGATGCCCTTCCTGATGCCTACGCAGAGTTCACAGCAGATTCCCCCCCCCCCCTAAATAATTCCCCTAACCTTCCAGGGCAAAAGTGCTCGAAATCCGGGCACGCGTCACCAAACACCTGCCTTGCTTAGCCACAGAAATACTACCCTCAACTGTGGTCCTAAGTCAAAGGCTACCTGTATTTGGAGGGTGGCAACCACGACACCCCTTGGGCTTCCCTATTTCCCCCTGGGGTTGTCAAAGCAGAGGGGCCGAGGGATCGTCCCGAGTGGAGCTGTTTCTTTCAGTCGTTTTCCTCTCACCTGGGGAGGTTTTATTCCAGGCGCAGGCAGGTTTCGCCCTCTGAAAAACGGCCTTCCCTTCCCAGGCTTCTTCGTCTACCCCCTGGACGAATACACCACCGTGGTGGGCTTCGAGGCGGTGATTTCTCAGCGGGTGGTAACAGTGCAGATCAAAGACAAGGCAAGAATCGAGGAGAGCTGCTTCAGCGACGGGAGACCCCCGGATGAGGCGGGTGAGAGAAGAGGAGGGGAGGGGAGGGGGCAAAGTGATAACCCCAGGGAATAGACAGGCTGATATTCTATGTTCTGGAACCTTCAAGGTTGCAGGAGGGAGCAAAGCAAAACTGTCCCCTTAGAACTGGCCTCTCCAATCTTGGCAACTTTTAAGACTTGTGGACTTCAACTCCCAGAATTCCTTGCTGGCTGAGGAATTCTGGGAGTTGAAGTCCACCCGTCTTAAAGTTGCCATGCCTGAGAAAGGCTGGAAAGCCTTCAGTGAACCATAGAGGAGGCCTGCTAAGCAGACATCGGGCGCCTGAGCTTCCTTTCCTGCAGGCCATGTCGTTCTGGATGAAGACCTGGAGAGGATCGTCTTTGTGGCCAGCGTGGGCATCATTCCCCCTCAAGTGGACGTGTCCATCTGCATCAGCACGTCCTCTGAGCTCCAGACCCTCCCGACCGGGGCCGTCAGGGTCCTCCTTCCGGCCGTCTGCGCCCCCAGAGTGCCCCAGAAAGCCTCCGACCTGACCGGCAGCCTCTCTGGACACCACCCCTCCTTGTAAGCAGCCCTCCTGCCAGAGTTTGCTTCAAGATCCCCGCGGATTTTAGCCTCCTGGGTCGAGGCAGGAAAGGCCAGACTGCAGCTGCCATCTAACAAGGCTCTGAGCAGGGAATGCTCTTGTGGGAAGCTGTCATAATGGGGAAAGGGCACGTTAAATGCAGAAAGACAGGCGGAGAAATCCCAAATGCCCGGCTTTTGTTTGTAGAAATAAAACAAAATGGGGAATATTTTTAATGCGCTAGCAGCAGAATAGGACAAAAAAAAAAGGGCAAGTTATTAGGATACCAAACTTTAAAGAAGAGCACCTTGGAAGGACTGAAAAATTGGTGGGTTCAGCTGTGAACGTCCTGTTTTAGCTGGGTTTCTGCCGGACTCAAAAGCTCGCTGTGATTGCGGGGCCCTTGGAGCTCTCTGAGCTGGGTGGTTTCCTTGCAGACGTTTCATGACCCAACTAGGGAGTGTCATCAGTGCAAGGAGATTAGTGGGGTATGTCCCCACTCCCTGCTAGCACGGATGACATTCCCTAGTTGGGTCATGAAACGTCTGCAAGGAAACCACCCAGCTCAGAGAGCACCCGGGACCCCACCGCTCTTCTCCCACCCTGACCCACCGTCCTCTCTTCAGGAAGGACGGGCACTGCAGTGGGGGCCTTTCTCCAGAGCAAGCAAGGAAATTTTGCCTGGCGCATCTCCTGGAAGCCGAGACCACCAACCCTGTGGAGTACGAGTTCAGCTTCTCCCTGGAGATCCGAGGGCCGTGTTTATTGGCAGGTCAGCTGGGATATCAAAGGAAAGGGGGGCCGGCCAAGGGGGGGGGGAGATAAGGGGCAGGAGGAACATCAGATCTCTGGTCCTGCTTGGGGCCACTTATTCTTTGGGCTGGTCAGTTGGCCACGGAAGGGCCTCTCTTAAGCCATGCCTGGTGGAGGGGAGCCCTGGCGGCTCTGGTCCAGCAGCCTGTCCACCCTAGGGTCAACCAATCCGTGGCCCAGAAGATGCCCTTCAGAGGGCCCACTGCCCTCAGTTAAGATCTGCAGGCCCACTGAAGGGTCCAGAGAGCTCTCCGAGGTGCTGATGTAGGCAGACCTCATACAGGGAGTCCGTGAATCACAACTGTTCATTTAGGGACCGTTCCAAGGTACGGCGGCACTGAGAAAAGGCGCTTACAACCATTTTTCACACTTAACGACCATGGCAACAACTCCCTGGTAACGTGATCAAAATTCGGCAGCTTGGCCACTGACTCATATTTATGACAGTTGCAAAAGGGCCACGTGACAGGCACAGTCCATGGGGGGCAGCCAGCTTCACTTCAGAGCCATGTGACTCCGTTTCAGCAATTGTGGTGATTGGGGCAAGAAAGGTCGTAAAATGGGGCAAAGCTCACTTAAGAAACGCCTCACTTAGACCCCCCCCCCTCAAAACAGGAGTGGAAAGCCCCACGCACGAGATCCGAGCGGACGCTGACCCTTCGGCCCGGTCGGCCAGGAGCATCACCATCCGCCTGGCCCACAGGCACACCTTCGACCGTCCGGTGGAGATCCTGATCCACCCCAGTGGTAGGTGAGAAGCCTCTGAGGCTCCTTGGCCTGGACGGGGAAGAAGGGGAACCAGGGCCGCTCCAAGTTGGGGCTCCTCCATCGCTGGAGGTCTTCCAGAAGGCAATGGAGAGCCTCTTGACCGGGACGGTGTAAGCCCTCCTGGGTCCCTTCTGTATGGAAGGGTCTGACTAGAAGACCTCCCGGGTCCCTCCCGTTTTCTGAGACCCGTCCTTGACAATCTGATCTCTGGGCAGGGATGCCTGTGTGGGTTTGTGTGGTTGTTGGGCTGGCTGCAAATCGCAACGGAGTCCAAGTGAGGGCCAAAAACCGTGGCTTCCTTTGAAAGGGGCAAAGCTTTGCCCTTGGAAGGAATCGGTGGGTCAAAGCAGCAGACTTCCGGAGAGATCTGCGCGTCCCTCCTTTGATTATCCCCTTGTCGTTTCCCCCCCCCCCCCCCCCCCCCTTTGTTTCCCCCCCTGTCCCCCCCCCCCCCCCCCCCCGCTCCCCTTTGTTTCCCAGAGCCCCACATGCCCCACGTCCTGATGGAGGAGGGGGACATGGCCCCTGCCCAGTACGAGCAGCACCTGAGGGGGCGGAGTGACTTCATCAAAGGCACCAAGAAGGACCCCAGCCCCGAGAAAAAGGTGGGCAGGGGGAGGGGTGTGGGGTTTTTGCCAAAGGAGCTGGGACCTGGGGGGCAAAGACCCCCTTTCTATTCCTTTAAGTCCCCATACCCTCCCCCGGATTCTGCCAGAAGTCCCCGGGTCCCTCCTTAAAGCGGGGCCATCCATTCAGACATGCGCCTTGGACACCCAGTGGGTGGGCATCCGGCTTCACAGACAATCCTTGACCTACAACCGCAATTAGGACTGAAAGTCTCTGGAGCTGAAGAAGCTTCCTGGACGAGAAGCGAAAGGCCTTAAAAAAAAAAAAAACCCAACCCAAGAAAAGCCTCTGGGGGAAAAAAGCCCCTTTAGGACTTTGCTTTAGATCCGCCTCCCACCTGCCTGCTCCCCCTTGTCCGATTCCGCACAGGCCCCCCCTCCTGCCGCCCCTGGGTCCCTTGCCTGCCCCACGGAGAGCTCTCCCTCCAGCAACGTCTCTCCAGGGGGGCCGGCAGCCTGGGGGGGGGTGTGTGTCTCAAAATGCCTTTGAGCTTGGCCTCCCTCCCTCGGTCCTGTCAGACGGAAATCATCCGCAAGAGGCTTCACAAGGACATCCCTCACCACCCGGTGATCATGCTGAACTTCTGCCCGGACCTGAAGACGGTGCAGCCGAACCTCCGGAAGACCCATGGCGAGTTCATATTCCTGGTGGACCGCAGCCAAAGTATGGCCGGCACAAGCATCGCCCGGGTGAAGGTAGGTTGGCTACGCTGCGGGGGCCCTGGGTGGAGGGGAGGGCTTGGAGGCAGAGAGGGAAAGAGGGCTCGGGGTTCAGGTCCCCTTTCACCCAACGCACCGGGAGAGGAGGCCAGACACCCTTTGGACTTGAGAAGCGGCGCTGCACAACCTCAACAGCTTGAAGAGGGGTGGACTTCAACTCCCAGAATTCCCCAGCCAGCCACGCTCATGTTTTTCCTCCAGAGTGGAGAGATTGGAGAGAAAGGGATCATGGCGGCTGGGGAATCCTATGAGTTGAAGCCCACCCATCTTTAAGCCTCCAGGGTTGTGCAACGTTGCTCTGCTCTGCACTGCGGTCGAAAGGAGAGTTAGACACACACACACACACACAACCTTTTAGTGTGCAGACTGCACAACAAGGATAGGAAGCAAACAAACAAACAAACAAAACCGGCAACTACAAACCCTCGAAACGGTGTGACTTCATGGCCTGCCTGCCTGGAATGCAAAGCGCCCTGACATTGACAGGAAGAAATGGGCAGGTTTGGCGGCCTCTCAGCCAGGTCTGCCTTCCCTGAGCTGGGAAGCTGCCTGCGCCAAAAGCTTGCGGTGTTTCTCAAGAGGTGACTCATCGTTCATTAATCCAGCTTTGAAAGTCACCAATGCCAAAGGCTGTGGGAAGAGGGTGGGGGAGGACAAGGACCGTGGGGGGCCCGGGTGCTCTCCAATCTTGGCTGATTCCTTGCAGACGTTTCACGGGCCGACTAGGGAATGTCATCAGTGCAGCCTGTGGGCAGAGTGCCCTTTCACCCCCTCCTTCCCCGAGGACTCCCTGCTGGAACTGGGCGCTGCTAGGCCCTCCGTTTCCTGGAGCGCGAAAGGCCTCGGATCCACCGTTGCGACCCCTGACTTCGCCTCTCTCTTGCTTTCGCAGGACGCCCTGGTGGTCATCCTGAAGAGCCTCGTGCCGGGTTGCCTCTTCAACCTCATTGGCTTCGGATCCACCTTCAAGGCCGCCTTCCCTGCCAGTCAGGCCTACTCGGAGGTGAAGGGAGGCGCTCTTGTGCCCCCCCGCTCCCGATGCTTCTCTTGCAACCCCCCCCCCCCGTTGATGCAGCTGGTTGACCAAGAGGGTGGCAAGGGCGGCTCCCGGCTCGCTCAGCGGGTGCTTCAGTGTGGGGCACAAGCCTCCAGACGAGTTAATTCAGGGATCAGAGCCAACGGAGCTCCCCTGAGCTAGAGGGGCTGTGGTGACCACCAAGGCCCAGCCAGCCCTTCATCCTCGCCAGTGTGTGTGTGTGTGTGGGGGGGGGGGATGTTTGCCCAGGTATCCAGGCCCCTCCTTCCTCGGTGTGTCCAGAGCCCCTTCTCTGCTTTTCCTGCAGGAGAACCTGGCGGGGGCCTGCGAGAGCATCAAGAAGATCCGGGCGGACATGGGCAGCGCCAACCTGCTGTCGCCTCTGAAGTGGGTCATCCGGCAGCCCATCCACCGGGGCCACCCCCGCCTGCTCTTCCTCCTGACGGACGGGGCGGTGGGGAACACCGGCAAAGTGCTGGGGCTGCTACGAAGCCACGCCTCCTCCACCAGGTGGGCCTCAAGAGGGGCTGACCTGACCGGGGGCTGGACGGGCGGGCGGGCAGTCCTTCCCTCTCCGCCCTTGCAAGGGGGCAGCCAGGGCAAGGCCCTTCCCAGCGAAAGGAAACGGGGTTGACCTCTTAGCCCATAAAGACAAGGAAGTTCTGGAGTTTTGGCAAAGGGGCCGTTTTTTCCAGCGAAGTTTCTCCTGTTGAATCGGTGGGCAAAGTTTGCAGAAAAACCAGCCTGACAAGTGGCCCTCCAGCCTCCCGTAATCCCTGGGGGCTTCCAGGTGGTTCTCCTTGCCCAGCTGCTCCTCTCCTCCCCCTGCTGCAGGTGCTACACTTTCGGCATCGGTAAGAACGCCTGCCGGAGGCTGCTGAAGGGCCTGGCCGCCGTAACCAAAGGAAGCGCCGAATTCCTGGCTGAAGGGGAGCGGGTGCAGCCAAAGGTGGGCCCCCCCTTGGACTGCTGCAGGGTTTTTTGTTTGTTTGTTTTTGTCAATTGCTTACAAGATAATAGGTATAAGTATAGTACATAGTTATGAATACATGGATACATATAAGAAAAATAAAAAAATATATGAAAGAAACAACAGGACAGGGACGGTAGGCACGTTGGTGCGCTTATGCACGCCCCCTACAGGCCTCTTAGGAAAGGGGTGAGGTCAATAGTAGACAGTCTAAGGTTAAAAGTTTTTGGGGTTTGGGGAAGAAACCACAGAGTCAGGTAGAGTATTCCAGGCATTGACCACTCTGTGGCTGAAGTCGTATTTCCTGCAATCCAGTTTGGTGCTGTTTACCTTGAGTTTGTATCTATTGTGTGCTCTTGTGTTGTTATGGTTGAAGCTAGTTAGTAGTGTGATATTACTAGAGAAAAAGCTACGTAGGATTAGGTTAACAACTCTTAACGCCTTTTTGGCTATGTAGTTACAGTGGGCTCTAGCACTTAGGTCATTAGAGATGAGTCCTCCAAGGTCCTTGACAGAGTTTGGATCATCAACAAGGTCTTGACTATTCAGCCTGTATTTTATTTTCTGCTTTTTTTTTGCCAATATGTAGGACAGAGCATTTATTTGTTGAGATTTGAAATTGCCATTTGTTTGACCATTCTGACACATAGTCAAGGTCTTTTTGAAGGGTAGCAGTATTGTCTGTGGTGTTGAATAGCTTTACACCATCAGTTAATAATAATAATAATAATAATAATAATAATAATAATAATAATAATA